AAAGGAACAGACTCAATGGACAGTGTCTCTCTCTCTCTCTCTCTCTCTCTCTCCCCCACACACACACAAAATGGATGAACAGACATGCAACAAAGCAAGTGAAAACATTCTACCCAGCAGTTTCAATGAAAATGCAAACTTAATCCTAACAATACAATCAATCAGAATCTAAACAGTAAAATTAACTGCATAAATCAACTTACATGAATCAATGGATCTCCCACCAAGAGAAGATCTCCTTGAGCTCACGAATTCCAAAGAATGCACACCAGTCAGTGACTGCCTCTTAAGCAAAACTGGGATGCTCGAGGATGTAGGGGATCTCCCATCACCCTTGATGGGACCATTACTATACATTGGTGACGATGTTTGTGACATGGACTGATGATTTCTGCAAGTGATAGAAGAAATGAATATCTACAATTCTTTTGAGAAACTCCAGAAGTTTCTTGTGATAATCAAAACAAGAATACAAATTCGTAGAAACATATATGAACATGTATGTCCATGTTGATATCCAACACAAAGAATATCCAAATTATCCATTACAACAAACAATATTGCCCTACTAAGGACAGCAAAAACTTATAGAACCATTTAGTATTTCTTTTAAAATTTTAGATGGCTGGGATCCCCCTGCCCATCCATCCAGCAGAGAGCAGGGGAACCGCCCACAACAATTAGGTACGTGAACCACCCACCAGAGCACTACATGCACATGCGCACGCATACATGCACGCATGCACACACACAGACATGTATGCACACATATGTGAACATAAATGTCGATATCCAATACAAGTTATTTCCAAATTATCCATTACAACTGATAATATTGTCCTACTATAAGGGAAACAAAAACTATAGAACCATATAATTTTTCTTCTAAATTTTTAGATGGCTGGGATCCCTCCCCGCCCATCCAACCAGCAGCCAGCGGGGGAACAGCCCAAAACAATTTGGTATGTGAACCACTCGCCCAAAACAATTAGGTATGTGAACCACCCACCAGAGCACTGCATGCACCTGGCAGGCATGCATGCACGCACCTGGTAGCCATGCATGCACGCACGCACGCACGCACAGACATGTGCGCAACACAGAGACACAGAAGAGAAAAGTATAAGTTTATTTTATTTTTCCTGATAATTTCCCCAGGTAAAACACTCATAAGATCCGGTTCCCAATGACAACATATCTTACTAAAAAAATCCATACTGAGGAAATGTATGGGAAACACCACATTTCAGGGAATAGAATTACAAATGTCCTATTACCTTTTCTCAGAGCCATGGATAAGTCTCCCAATTGTTAGAAATGATTTCCGAAGCTGAGATCCTTTTCTACTGGAATTCGAGCTCGTTTGTGAATAGTTGGGGATAAAACTTGTTTCTCTTTGCTTCTCACTGTTGTCATCATCCTTATTTATTTGTCTTAGCTGCTCAGGTGTTTTTTGGAGTTGGAGTTGTAAATTTATGCCACTCCCTAATTTTGCTAGCTGTACATCCTGGTCAACAACAGTTCGAGTAGTTTCAGCCATGTACTGAAGGCACCTCTCGGCTGTGCTTCTAGCAACGGTCTCCTGATGTTTTCCATATGCAGTTCGAGAATTAACTTCAGAGGCCTCAGAATACACTTCATTCATGGCAATGCCATTCATCATACATCTTTGGGCCTGCATGAGGAATTGTGGTCAAGATGAAAATGGTTAGTAGGAACTAAAAGTATAAGTTTTATTTAAAATAAAAATAAGTTTTATTTAAAATAAAATAAATAAATAAAAGGTTTAGAAAAAAAGAACATAATGTTTTGGGAAAATAATAACAAAATAAGCTATTTCCACCACAATAGATAAATAATAACTCAGCTCAAAATTTTACAAGACATGTTAAAATACATGACAATTAATAACACACTAGAACGCAAAATGTAACATGATACAGAAAATTCTCACATAGAGATCATGATTTATATAACTTGCTTGTTTAGTGCCCCGAGAAAGGTAAAAGGCAAAGAAAGGTGAATTCCATGACTTGATGCAGAAGAAAGTAAAATGAAAACGAAATAAACATTATTCTGAAAACTAGGTAGCTTTTTGTGTAATCCACTCCTAAATTTTGAAAAAAGAATATAAATATACTCCAGTCCTAAATTTTGAAAAAAGAATATAAATATCACAAGCTTCTTGTACTGCAATCGTCTATTATATGTCAGGCGTGTTGAATATTGTTTCAAAAGATTGCAATGATGATGGACATAACATAGTAGCATTAAAGGACTTCATAAAAGTTGAAAATAATATATTACAGTATGTGGTGTTCGAATACGGTCCTCATTCCTTCCACTTTCAGGGTCACCCAAACTGGACTGCTGAGCTCTAGTTGGAGTGCATTCAGATGTTGACATTGGCTTTGGAAGAAGAGATCTTGGTTCCTTTGTATCATTAGCTTTTGCTGTCTGCTCACTCAAACCAATGTTATTGCCTTCTATACTTACTCTCCGAGAACAGTTAAGAGGGTGTTCAACACTTAGTTTTGGTTTAAGCAGAGGAGATTTGGAACCTTTTGAATCGACTTGCTTCATTGGCTGGTCATTCTTCACAATATTACTGGGTCTTTCTATGCTCAACCTTCGAGAGCGTGGAGGGTGCTCCATCACAGCTTTTGGCTTTAGAGGAGACTGGGATCCCTTTATATCCTCTTCTTTAGTTATCTGCTCCTTTGTCCCTTGATTTGGGCCCTCGATGCTCAACCTTCGTGGACGCACTAGTGATTGCTCATTTCTTACTTTTGGATTCGCGATTGGGGATCTCAGTTCTTTCATTTTCTGTGAGGAGGCCACCATTTCTGCTTCCTTTCTTGCTAATGCCTTCTTCAGGCTTTCCACCTGCACATTAATTCAGGCATGATGGATATAGAGTGAAACCATCACATACTCAAAAGTTGTCAATTTTCTTTAAGCTTCATGCACATACTGCAGGGGTAGTGCTGAGCATGTTTATGTGATAATCACCTTTTTTTAGAGGTAATTTTGTGTGCAAGGGCAATTCCGTGTGCGTTGCTAAGTATGTTTAAATATCTGTAGTTCTTCTTGATTCAATACAAATAATAAAATACCAATTTGAAGTAATGCATAGATGGGAAATTCTTTGCATGCATGGATGGATATGCATGACAAGAATGTCTTGAGTGTGTCCAGTTTGTTGAGAGTTTACTGAAAATTTCTTTTCATTCATGAATGCATGTAAAGCTGAGCATGTTTATACAACATTCACTTTCTCTTGAGGTAAAGCTGAGTATGTTTATATTACCATGCGCAATCGTGATTTCTTGTGCATGCTAAGTATGTTTAAAAACATCTGTAATTGTTCTGAAAGTAACTGCAAATAAAATATCAAATTTTCAAAGTAATGCATAGACACAGGAAATTCAGTACGTGCATGTGTGAACAACTTAATTTTCTAGAAACTATACACATTACATGTTTCTGTGTGCGTGTGTGACAGGTGTGTAAACATTTCAGATTTCCTTGATTAAGCACCTCCTTACAGCAACTCATAAGCAAGTCTCATGTACCTGTTCTCTGAGCTCATGAACATCACCATTTACTTTATTCAAACGAGCAGCACCAATCTCAACTGTGGATACCCTCTCAGCAAATTTCAGAGTACTGATTGTTTCCGCATATGAATCTATTTCTGGGCTTACATGAGCAAACATCAAGGCTTTTGCATGCCCTCCTGGAGTTGCATATGAGTCATAGGCAAATAAGAGAAATCAGAATGGCCGAATTGATTTCTCTATCAAACTATAACATGATTAAGAAGGTTTAAATATAAATAAAGAACCTAAAGAATCTTGCAGGAGCTGGGTCAGTTTGCTGTTTCTATATGGTACATGAGAGTTCTTTTGAGCCAGTGCTGCAATCACATCTCCCAGGCAAGACAGTGATTTATTGATATACTGTGCTTCCTTCAGCCTATCACCCATAACTTCTGATTTATCCACTCTCTCACTACCTGCAAGGTCTACCAAGTGCAAGCAGCTGCGCAGAATGCATCCTGACATATCTTTACCTTGCACATGCACTGTCAAGACACTGAAGGAAAACACCAAGATCACAACATACCATAATCAGCATCAGCATCAGTTAATAAGAAGAGAAAATAAAAAAAGGAATAAGACACCAAGATAAGTTATATGTATGCTTCCAACCTATGAGATCGACTGCTTCGATCATTAAGGGCTGTTGAGCAGATAACACGGTTCCTCTGACCCAAGTTCATCAAATTAATAACATCCACACTCGATTGAACAAGATGCAAGCTGGCATCAGGTACACTCAACCCATTGTTTCCTGGACAAATCCTTATCTCTAACTTGCAAGGAGTTAAGGCATTTTAAATATTTGAATTTCTGGTTTACTATTACACAAAAGACAATTTGCTGGTAAATGCTGCTCAAACCATAAGAAACCAACTGAAGGGAACTAATTCTGGATCGTAACGTGCGTAAGTGAACCAATTGGCTTTATGTATGATGGTTACGTAGGAGTACGGGTACTTCTTCTCAAATTTCAAAGAAAACAAATAGAAAATGAATAAAACATTGTTAGTTAATAAAGAACATAACTATGATGATTATAATCATTCCTAATCATAGCTGTAATTATATTCATTCAAGTGGATTCGTAAATTCAAAACAGTGTAGTAGGGAGTAATGCCTTAGTTTACCTTAGGCGGTCAACATTAAAGATTTGGAGCCCCCAAACCAAATCACTAGATCATGTAAACTACCTCCGAAAAGTGGTGTTTACAATATGTTCATAAAGATTCCTGGACCCCTTTTTTGTACAATCAATATAGTGCCTTGTTGTACAGGCAATATAGCACTGCCACTGTTGCCATTTTTCTTTACAATGTAATTACCTAACCTGGTTCAAATAGAGTTCTAATCCATCTAAAACTGCAAACATTTTGATCATTTTGATCATTTCTAGACCTACCTAAATAAAAGCAATTCCAGGAACATTCTAGCAATTATAAGTCAAAAAATGATGCCACAAAAACTCTTAAACAGAATGAAAGCTTGCTTCATAAGGAGATGGAAAGCATGTGATATTACAGTGGAGTTTACCATCTACATAGAAGATTGAGGAGAAGATTCAAAAGGAAATCATTTCCAATTATCAAAAATTGAGAATCTTAAGTCACTTGAAACAAAATGAGTGACAATAGGTGCTTAAATGTGTATAAGTGTGTATACACATAGACAGGATATTTGGTGGCTGATGCATCAGTTCCCAGTAGATCTCTCACTTGTTCATTGTATATTTCCACCATTTGAACTCTAACCTTATAATTCACAACATCTCTCCTGCTCCGAGATATCTCAAAGAGATCATTGAGAGCTCGATAGTTGACTCCCAAATCAGTGTCAGAGCCCCCAGAACGCCCACACTGAAAGAAGCTCCAGAAACAAATGTGAAACACATTAACCAGCAAAACTAAGGAAAAATCACAGTGCACCAGACCATGACCTTCCATGGAAATGATGGACATTGATGGAGAGAAAGGGGAATCCACTAGAACGTGACACAACCGCAGTGGCAGGTGCCAATCTCTCTCTATCAGTCCATCACTTCAATGGACAGTGATGTCCCACAGTGCACCGGATCATGACCTTCCATGGAAATGATAGACATTGATGGAGAGAGAGGGGAATCCACTAGAATGTGACACTACCACAGTGGCAGGTGCCAATCTCTCTCTATAAGTCTATAAGTCCATCACTTCAATGGACGGTGATGACAGGACCATATACAAATCTGGCCAGGAAATCTGGTTAGGAGTTTTACCATGGTGTGTGTCTTCCCAGACCCAGTTTGACCATAAGCAAAAATGCATACATTATATCCATCCATGACAGACCTAATTAAAGGCTGAGTGTTCATAAACACCTCCTCTGTCGAAATAAATCATGTTCAGATACATACAATACCAGCATTAACTAAAATGGAAATACACACAAAATAAAACTTACCTTGAGTAGCTATAGGGCTAAAGACCTTGTTGAATTGGAAAGTCCTCTTTGAGTCTTTCTGTAGCTTTAGGGGATTTACAATAATTAAAGAGCCATCATCTCCAATGGAATCTATTGTACTCTGGGTCGGGTTTCCAACTCTGATTGAAGGTCTGATCCTGCAGAACACTCGAATGTTTCCTGCATCGGAAACACTCAGAAAATTGTAGTCTTTGATACTTAGCCTCCCTTGAAATTATAAGAGAACATAGTAAAACCAACCTTTCAAATCTTGAAGTTCATTATAGAGATTTCTGTTTTCTTTCAACACGCGATGATACCCAACCGCAGCACTTGAAAGGTCTCTAACCTGGTTCCCTGGGATAGAATAAAGTAGAGGGGACAGTATTTAAAGTTTTCATAAGAATTTTCCACTACATCCGAGCAGTTAAGCAACTCAAACAGTTCAAAGATTCTCTGACTAACAATCAAAGAAACTGTGAGAGCCCAGAAATAACCTTCCAAATAATAATAAAGAATTTTTCATTTTTAAAGGATTTTAGGCACCTTAGATTCAGGGATGTGTGGAGGGAATTAAGGATATTCAGAATCTCGATTTCATGCAGGTAACAGATTTGAACATTGAGCTGAGTAATATTCTGTTATTTATAAGAACTGATAGAAATATGTCCTGCATGTGATATTTTTCTTCTCATACAAGACCTTAGTTGTCTCAAGTCAGTTTTCCAGTCATTATGAAGGGCTTCAAATTTGTTCCTTGAAACAAACTATGAGACCCCAGAAATAACCTTTTAAATAAGGACACGGTTAGCATGCGGCCAAGCCCGCACATGTAGAAAAACGGGCTTGGCAATAAATATTTTTTTAGAATATAATTTGATCCTAATTTTTAAAGAACATGTAATCTTCAACATGGAGATCATGAATATGAAAAAATAAATAAATTTTGAAAAATAGAAATAATAATTATACTAAGAAAATATTTGGACCGTTAGTTACAATTGTTTTTAGATGAACCACCTATTTGCATCCATCTTTAGGATGATGCTTTATACCTCTAGACCGCATATTGTACAAATGCGGTCCAGCCCGCATGAAACAATTGTTCTTTAAATAATGATAAAGAATTTTCCATTTTTACATGGTTTTAGGAACTGCAGATTGAGGGATGTGTTGAGGAAATTAAGGACATTCAAATCTCAATTTCATGCAGGTAGTGGATTTGAAGATTAAGCTCTGTAATATTCTGTAGTTTATTATAAGAACTGATAGAAATATTGTCCGCATGTGATATTTTTCTTTTCATTCAAGACCTTACCCAGCTGTCTTAAGTCAGTTTGCCATTGATTCTGAAGGGCTTCAAATTCCTTCCTTGCTCTTTGGCATAAAGCTTTGAGTTCCTGCAGAATAATAGAGTGCCTTTAACAAACTATGGCAGTGGGTTAAAAGTAAGCTTCCAAGACATCTCCCATTTGAAATGTTATTAATTGATGTTTGGGCCATAGTTACCGGAATCTCTCCACCGACCTCGCGTTTCCTGTTCCGAACGATTCCGCGTTTCCGTTAAGGAATCTCCACGGAAACCTTTTTCGGAACCAAGGAAACGCGTTTCCTTAATTTCAAAATCTCTATTCGACACATCTTTATAAACCATTTTTCGGAACCAAGTAAACTTGAGTCCTTAATTTCGGAATCTCGATTCAATACATCTTTAAAAATCATTTATCGGAACCAAGAAAACTCAATTCCTTAATTTCGGAATCTTGATCCAACACTTCTTTAGAAACATGAACCCATTAATTGTGGGTAGACATTCCCAAATATATCGAACTTACATTCCAACGAGGATTAAATCTTGATTCCACGTCAAATGAAGTAGAAGTCTTCCTTTGAATGCTTCTAGTGGTTGCAGGGTTTCATTATTTTACTTGTGCAACCTTGGATGGCCTTTGCTTTATATTTAAAATATAACTGGTAAATACAACACATATAATTAAAAGTAAAACCATGGCGTAGACATAATCCTATTTTGTCTTTATAATAATGAAGCCAAAATCACAATTTAGAAATACTTGTCTTTTATATATAATGACCATAAGTTCAATAGTCAACACAATCACTTTAAAATTTGGGTAACCTTATAATAAGAGATATCCAATATAGTTTCTAAAGTTGATGAGGCTCAATATGTGCTTGTGGCTTCCTTCTCCATAAAAATGAAATCTCTATTCCTAGTAGGGGTCGTCAAACACATTCCATAATCCAGATTATTGTAAATCTCGATCTCAAACTGGCATAGATCTCTGATCTATATACTTCAGAAACTAGATTCCAAATATGTTAGAATCACTATTCGAAACAGCAGCATATCTTTGTTCCACATATGTCAGAAACTCGATTCCATAGATGTCGAAAACTTGATTCTACATATTAACAAATCTTGACTCCTGGAGTGTCGATTCCAGGGGGATGGGAATTTCGATTCCAAGGAGGTTGAAATCTCGATTCCATATGTGGAACTTGGATCTATTTTGATCGAAACATGATTTGCTAAAACTAAGAATCACGTTCTTAGCTATTCCTATTGTATGGACAACGATTCCTAAGACAATAATCTTCTAGCCGGCTGCGATTCCGCAAGTATGGTTCCTAAAACGATTTGGGTTCCTAGGTGTTCCAACAACTATGGTTTGGGGCTTAAAAAGAAAATGGCCATTAATTGATCAGCATAACTAACAGCCACTCTGGTGAAATTCAAGCATCCTTTTTACAACTGAGCATCTTAAACTGTTAATTTGTCCCACATCATATCACTCAAACAAGCCTCTTTTGCAGTTCATAAGGGTAATGGTGGTTAACTTCATAATAAAACATTACATATAGTAAGCACATCTTACCAACATTCAAATGAAGGGAGTGCAAGAAATTATCCAAGACTGACAAACTTACTGATATGTCCTTTTCCTGTGTTTGTAAAAGACTCCAGTGGGTGCAATAGACATCTCCTCGGCATGATTTGCAACCCTGCATATAAAATGGTAGGCTTATGTCAAAAACTAATCGGATTAAACTACTAAGATGGTAGGCTATTCCAACGACCACGAACTGGTGAAAACCAGGTTAAACCAAAAAAGCTTTTCTAACCCTTCAAACAGGGACTTCCTAATTTCCGTTTCAAAGATTACCAATTGATTTCATAGTTCGACGAAATTAACAAAGAACATACAAAACAAAATACAAATAAAAAATTCATACCTTCTTAGTTTCAATTGTTGAAGTGTCATCTGCAGTCCTTGGTGCTGAACTTGCACAGGGGTTATGTCCTTCCACAAATATCTCTTTAAGTACTTCATCTATCTACACACAAAGAAAATTAATCAGTTTCTTCAATTTTCTATTATTGGACACAATGTTTGTAGTGTGTAGAAGTTTTCTCCAAAGCTCATATGGTTTACAAATCCAAATCATGCACTAAATGCTTAAACAAAACATTCAAGCATTAGCAACACCTAAGCCGGTCACATGTCAGTATCAATATTACATTAGTAAAATATCCATAAAATTAGCAAAGAATTATTGCTACAAGGAAATCTTAAGTAAAATTAGTTTTCCCACGTAAATATTACAGAAGACCAAAAAGTGTAAAGCTACAAATGTTCTGATAAACTTCTTTTACACTTGAGCAACCACTTACACACAAAAAACAATTTGGCAATCACTTCCTTACATGTTAAAATCCACAAATTTGTAAGCATATAAAGTCAATTCGTGTTTGCTATTATTGCGGGTGTCTTGGTGGAGGGCAAGAGGGGAAGTTAACACATAGACCTAGTTCCTTACATGTTAAAAACAACTTATTTATCACGTACCTTACATGTCAAAATCCTTAAATTTATAATCATATCAGGCTGATCCAATGTGTGTGGCTCAGGGGCATTGTGGGGCCGGAACGGCGAAGGGGGAAAGAAAACACAAAGATTTGGTCACAAGTTATAGTGTATTTAGCATTTGTCTTAGTTTGCATCAAAAATATCTGATTGCATGAAAGGCCTCAAGCCTTTATTAATGCCCATCATTACGGTGTGCACTGCATTGACACACGCCACAAGCACAAATATCTTGGAAGTCAACTACAAAAATGATCATATGTTCATAAACTCTACATAGTTTGACTCAAATTATTTTGAAGAGCTTGAACTTTACGTCTATTCATTTTAGGATGTCCAAGTAGGAATAATTTAGAAATATATTAAATATTAACAGAAATACAGGACTCAAGTTCTAATCATTATGTTACACTAGAGTTTCTATCAACTATCTTAATAAATTTACCTTTGTTGATCCTGTTTTAAACACTTGAGACGTATTAGGAGTTTCACCAAAAGGCCATATTTCCAAACAGTTCACTGAAAGACGAGTAGCGAATAGGTCAACATTTGAGCATCACTACATCTTCCGCACAATGCTAATCATGTTCTTCCCACCTACACATTCAGAATGTGAGATGAGGGTCCATAACCCATGCAGCCCAAGGTCTGGGTTAAAGGTGGAGGACTGTATCACATTACATCCAACTTGTCAAGGGGGCAATATATTGACCTCATCATTACCCCAATCCATTCTAAAGGGAGGATACCCTAAGCTTAGCTTTGGGATTGGACTCCAGCCCCATATCAGACACAAACAAAACTTAACTCATCTCAGTTATCACATGATCTACATACCCTAATTGACCTGGTACTCAAGTGCTCCATAGTGTAAATCCTTGCTCCAAGGACCAGCCTTAGAAAATGCACCCATAGAGGCTTTCTATTGGACTCAAGCCCCAAAGCAGACACAAACAGAACTTAACTCTTTTCAATTACCCTTATTTATGAACTACAGACCCTAATTCACCTGGTACTCTAGTGCTCAATAGTGTAGATCCTTGCTCCAAGCCCAAGAACTCAGAAAATGCATCAATACAGCAACACCCCCCCAAACCCAAATCCTCATAATTCTGCCTCAATACCTATCTCCATAATACTCCCAGTTCCTTCTCAAGTCTAAAATAACAGTTGCTGGAGACCCTTCTTGGCCTCATTGAAGAATTTGATTGAATTCCATCAAGTGAATGGATGTCTACAAATGAAGAAGGACACTCATAAAATCATGCCTTTTATCAAACTAATGGAATCCAACAACCCCAACATATTTCAAAATAACTTGCTGAAAATCACATGTTTTTAGCCAAAGAATAGCTGGAAATAATAAAAAAAGTTAAATAAAATAATATATAAATAACGCAAGGTACATACTAAGTAACCAAACAACAAACAAAATAACATTACAAAATAACATTATCCACAGATAGAAATTTTAGATAAGATAGTCCATTCCAGAAATATTTTGATTGTTTATCCAAACAGGCCCTTAGATGAAAACCTCAAACAGTGTGTTTCTCCATAGCCCTCCTTGTTCTTACTCAAATCTCCAACGCTAACTAAGTCAATATCAGCCATTTTGATTCTGTTAATTCCCAAACCACCAACTAAATGGATTATTTGATATGACTCACGATGAAAAATCATCCATAAAGTGGATTTCCCATAAGTCTAAACAACCTTAATGAAAACCCCCTCCTAAATTTCTTCATTGTATTTGTCTTACTAATGAAAATAATATTTAAGGGACAGTCATACAACTACTCTAAGATTTCAAGTTCAACTAATGCAAGAAAAAGAATACCAACTCTCAGTTAGCTCACCTGAGGAAACTTATTCCGTTGCTGTTCTTGCTGGCAACTAGACAGAATCTTGGCAAGCACTTTGATTGGATCCTGCAAAACAAGTATTATGATAAGTAAATTAACATATAAAGTTACAAACTATCATTTTGTATCAAGGACAATGCATCCCAGTCTTTTCATGGATGACTTAATAACCCAATCGTATCTCTTCTGCAAAGTATAACCCTTGTTTTGCAACAGTAATCATTATATAAAAGGCAACCATGCTATTAGAAAATGACCACATGAGGACTGAATTTATTGGAAAGCAATAATGTAACATAGATATCCTTATCTGATAAACCGAAGAAAAGAAAAATCGAAACCTCTCCTTTCTATCTACTGAATTGAGAAATAAATATAGGCAAGATTTTTCCATATGCATCCACAAACTGTCCCACAGTTGTTAACATGAATGTTTCGTATTCACGATAGAAGACAAACTTGTCATTGTATATAGTCTTAGAAGCTTTAGCATCATATTGGTCATTTATAAATGGAAAACATTTAAGTAAAGTGTCAACCTTATACTATTGAAGTAACGTGCACCTCAAAAATCATCTAGACTAGTGTACCAACTTTGGAAAACCCTCCAATTGGTCATCTCAGCTTCGAAGAAAAAAAAAGAATTTTAAGTAAAAAAATAGTTTATCTAGACCGACTATTTTTTTAAAAAAAAAATTGTGTTTACAGATCTGCTCGATCTATAGCAATTTCGAAATTTTAAATATTGTAACCAATGACGAATACAGATTTTCAAGCCCTCATAAGGTTTGCGACATTGAAACATCTCCAGGAAAAATTTAGAGGTGTGCCTTACTTTTACGATATAAGAAGGGCACCTTATTTAACCTCACCAACCCTTCTTAAATATCTGGGACACTGTTTCTATAAGCCAGAAATTACAATAAGTATGAACATAATAGTCCACTTTGAATGAGGAAGGCCCACTGATCAAAGAAAGGAATGCCTTCTCAAGATTTTATAAAAGGGTGATATATTTTAGCTATTTCCAGGAAAGAGAAAAGAACACTATTTATCACTTTCCTTATCTAAACTACCTAAATTTTGAAGCAGTTGTATTAGCATGCTCAACACAAATGGTAATTCTGAGAAAATGGAGAGAGCCAATAGGGACATTCTGGATAAGCTCTTGTATTTGACAAGTACCCACTAATCAAAAATATATAAATAAATATATATATATTCTCCTGACTTTTAGACATCTAATATTCCTTCCATCACATAATTGGTGCATTCAAAACACATACAGATTGATTTGGTTACTTGCCATAATCTTAGGTCTTTTTTCGAATTAAACAAAAAGACAGAACAAAGAGCAATCAACCTCACCTCATTTTCACAGAGACCTGAAACCAGAAACTTCTGATCAATGTTCTCCTTCGTATTGAACAAGCTTTTGGCAACTTGCTTGAACAAACGGCTCAAGTCTTCAAAAGAAAATTGTAAACAACAATAAATATAAAAACTAATAACTTTTGTCAACTCGTAAGACTGCCAAAAAGAACAAACAAGAGACACAAATTAAGGAAGCAATACTATGAAATCCTGTCTAACCATTATGAGCCTGATGTTCATCATTCTGATCACTGGATTTAGGTTTATCTGGTGCATCCATGGAGTGCTTATTGCATGCAAACATGTCCAAATGCCTGTTTTCTACCATGGGAGATCTCATGGAAGCTACATATTTCCACGACCCATTTCCTCCACACTGTTTCCATTCATAATATGATTTGAGTGCTAAGACACAATCAACAATTTTGACAGTTGATCCAGCCTCCAATGTCCCCTGTTAAAACCCAAATCATAAAATCACAAATAAAATAAAAATATAAATAAAAAATGCGAACCAGGACAAAGAACAACACATCCAAAAGATGGGTTGTTTAATTAATTAAATAAAAGGAGAACTTCTCATCAGCCCAAGGACCGGATGCCACAGTATCTATGATTCAACTCAAATTTGGCACATACTCTTGTGGAACAAATTTCGAAGAAAACCCTGGAAAAATAGCTTCTTTAGGAGGGAAGAAATGCAGTGAGCACAGGGAAAGAAAAGTGGTGTTATACCCAGTCTCTAAGGGGATTATTTTCACCCCAAATTTTGCAGATTGAGACAACTTGTCTAGACTCAAAAATTGACTCGGGCCCGCAGCCTGGAACCAGGACCAGTCTGGAGCCGAGCCGAGCCTGGGTTTTCAAACAATGGTTCAAATACATTAATGAAATGACTCATTAAACCTAAGAAAAATCTTGAAAGTCGTAAACACCCCGCAACAAATGAAAGCAATAGTATTAATTTAAGCAGAGTGAGAAATATTACAAAGAACAGTTAGTGTAGTATAGTTTTCTATAAATTGAGTATCTGGAGAAATGAAAATATGGGTGAACTTACTTGTTCAAGATATGAAGCTTCAAAACCAGGCAATTTCAACTCATCCAAAGCAACAAGAAAATTCCTCACATTCTCGAAGTACTGGTAGGCTGGCAATGGTTGTTGCCCTTCTGAAGGAAGAAAAACACCATGGCTCTCCACCACCTGACATAATCCCGTAAGATAAAAAACGATTAAACCGAATATCAAGATCATGACCAAAAAGGGGTTCGAAAGTGGAATGGATAACCCCAACCTTAGGTACAGCTCCAGGCATGATCTTGTTAATCGTGTTACAGAGAACCAGACCATTGCGCAAGAAAGACCGAAACTCTTCCTCAGATGGATGAGACGATAGATTGAGAGGCCCAGCCATGCTTTCGAGCCATGAAGCCGCTAAATATCTCCGGTTCGCTGAAAATACGAAAATAATGCAGACCATAAACAAAAGAAATGCAGAAACAAGGTTAATCGAAAACTCTCGGGGTTCAACAGTAAATTAAAAACCTGCTTCTTCAGCCTTTCTTGAAGCCAAATCACCATCGCTTAATCTCTGAAAACGCAATGGAGTAGTTGAAGCCGAAGAAATCGCCATTAACAAGAAACCCCTCTTCTTCTCCTTCTTCTTCCTCTTCTTTTCTTCTTAAAAAAAACAGCGGCGCAACTTCTTATTCCTTTAACAAAACAAGGAAATACCTCTTCCTCTACTTCTTCTTCTTTCTTCTTCTGCAATTCTAGGGTTTTTTTAGGGTTTGGTTTTAGGGGCTTGAGCCTCGGTGTATTCGCAGCTGAGCTTTGAAAATACAACGGTCGAAATCGAATCACTGCAGTGTTAGGTCAGAGAAGCCTCATTTTTAAATGGGTTTACTCCGGACCCAAACCTGAGGCTCGGGAAGAGTGACGTTGATGATTTAAATTCAAACTGCGGAGGGACAGAAGATGATCCGGACCGTCCCTTGTGTATGGGAAATCAGCTTTTTGACGGTTGCCATCGCTTGGGAACTGAGATCCCAGCCCTTGTTTCACATTAACGGTGAACTTTTTAACCAATGGTCCATCATTGTATCAGTATATAGCCAATGGTATTACCAAAGTTTGAAAATTGCTAATTGAGATCAGAATCCGAAATAGAATTGTTGGGTAACGTCAGTGTTATGCAAAATTGAACCAGAATGGTTAACCTGATATAGGCTCGGAAGCGGTTTAACCGACCTAACCAATAAACCAGCCGATTCAACCGTTCTAACTAGGCAAGTCTCGGGTGGTCAAAAAGTGTTGAAAAAATAAAAAAGATAAAAAAAAAAAATCTACTAAAATATGAAAAACATATAAATAATGATTAAAACCAAACACTTTCAAATGAAGTTGAAAATTAATGAAAAAATAGATTTTAACGAATCGATTTTTGAATTATACTGACTATTATTGATAAAAATAATTTTTAATCTTTACTATAATGTAAATAATATTTTAAAATACATTACAAACCAAATTCTTTTTTTTGAGAATTTATATAATTTTTTTGAATTTTTTTTAAATACCAATCGATCACCAAAACTGCCCAAAACCGGAACCGGCCACCGACTAGTTACGATCTAACTAGGCGGTTAGCGGTTAGATCGTCTGATTTTTCTAACAATGGGTAATGCCCATTTCCATCAAGTTTTGGTTTTTTATTATTGTTTTAACTTTTTTTAATTAACAAATAACATTAAATCAGTCAATCCAGATCAAAATCGCCAATCCCAATCAATTGAGCATGCGACTAATTCAACACATTAATCCATCTTTTTAAAGCTGCCTTTGGGGGCCACTAAAAGATATTAGAACTAAAATTGGAAAATTTATGACATACCTCCTCTCCCACAATTAGGTGTCAAAAACACCCCTTTTCAAAAAGGAAAAAGTTTAAAAGGTTGCAACCTTACAGAAGTAAAGGAGCAAGGTGCACTTCAAAAATCCAATAAAAACGGATGTTTTAAAGTTAAAAAACCTTCCAATTGATTATCTCAACCACAAGATTTATAGATTTTAAAAAAAACAAAAGAATATCAAGTCTTAAAAATAGTGCATCTTACAATAAATTATGTAGACCATCTATTTTCAAGATTTTCATCTGTTTAACAATCTGCTCAATCTGTATTATTTTTATAATTTCAAATTCTATATTTATAGTTGAAGATGATTGTAAGGTTTCCCATACTGGAAATAAATCTTCTTGCAAAATTTAGATATTCCCTTACATGTATAGTGTAAGGCGTGCACTTTATATAAATATCGGGCAAGCTTTCTATGCTTCCCCTACAACATTAAACTTATATACTTCCCCCTTATCCAACCGTCCATTCTGAATGGAGGGCTAAGATTGCCCCAATCACAATGTCACTATTTTATTTTAAATTTTTTCTATAAACTATTTTGACACCAAAATTTGTACGTCTAATCCTTTATTAAACTCGCACTAGAGAAAAATATAAAAAAATATTTCCAGTAAAATAAAATTATGAAAATACCCTTGTAAGATTCAATGGGTATTTTGGTCATTATATTTAATCGAAACATTATTTTTAATATTTTTTACAGGTGCGCCCCAATGTGAAGATGGCACGTACTAAATTTCATATTCATACAATTTGTATAAAAAAACTAAAAATAAAATATTTTGAGACGTCGGATCTAAGATCAAATGATGAGTGGCTCCCTTGATCAAAATTTGATGGCTGGATGGTAGGGGAAGCATAAATTTTCTATGCTATATGGGAAGTATAGAAACCTTTTCCATAAAGATCACCCCTTAAAAAGATATTTTTGTGGCTATCATTATCCCCTTTAAACCTTCAAACCACATTAGAATTTGGGAAAATTACAAAAAACACCATAAAATGGACTATCTATGCAACTTAACCCTCACCCCAATCTTTTCTTTCACTTTTTTTCCCAAAACAACATTTCCTCACAAAAACCCCCCAAGGTAAAAAGTTGTTACTTTTTTGATGGAAATACCCTTCCCGTACAAACCAAATCAATTTGCAAGTCCCAAGTAATGTACTGCTGGAGCGCGTCTTTGCACTGCCGAAGCACGTCTTTGTACTGTCGGAGCACGTTCTCATAATGTCGGAACGCTGTGGCTCAAACATGTATTGCCGAAGTGCACATTTAGAATGCCGGAGTGCTTGTTTATACTGCCGAAACGCTGTCCTCCATTGCCGAAGCACTATAGCTCCAGAGACTTCATTGCCGGAGCGGAATGTCGGAGCACGTCTCTGCACTACCAAAGCGAGTTCTCATAATGCCAGAGCGCTGTGGCTCAAACCTGTATTGAATTCCGGAGCACGTGTTTGTATTGCCGAAGCGTGTGTGAAAACAGGAGAGGGAAGGTCGTGTGAAAACAAACAAACGTAGTTTAGTCTTATCTCATGCTACTTTTGGGTTGGGGGGTTATTTGCAAGGAAATGTTGTTTAGGGGGAAAAAGTGAGAGAAAAGATTTGAGTGGGGGTAAGTTGCATAGATAGTCCATTTTAGGGTGGTTTTTGTAATTTTCTCGAGGAATTTCTCATATTTCCCCTGTCAAAGTCTTCATCCTCAGGGCACGAAGCAAAGTGAATTACTTCCCCATGAAAATGAACATATCAAGAAAATTTTAGAAAGTATAACTCATAATATTCATAATTTTATGAGGGGTGACGTTTGTATAAGGTGTTAAGCTTATACTATTGATGTAAGGTGCACCTCAAAACTCTTCCGAAAATACAGTTTTGGTGCCACAAAGTGTTGCGATGATATGAAAATCTATTGTTGCCCTCGATTATGAAATTTAATGTTTCATAAATGATGACGATCAAGCAGATATATGAATACTTGAAAATCTTGAAAATGGACGGTTCAGATAATGTATAAACTATTTTTAGAATTAAAAATCCCCTTTTTTTTCTTTTCAATAAATCGAGGTCAAGATGATCAATTTGAAGGTTTTTCAGCATAAAAATAACTTTCTCTAGTGGGTTTTTTAGGTGCACCTTATTTGTACAATAAAAAGTTGACATCTTTTATAAACTTTTTCCTTTTATAAGATGGGCCTTTCTAGTAAAAAAATTCACATAAGCTAAGTTATACATTATTTTAGATTAACATATACATCCAAGGACTTCCCCCCAAATTTCCCAAATAACCGAAGTGCTTCCTTTTTCTATCCAAAACAAGAAGAGAATATAATAACATTACTTCAAACAATCAATAACGTGCCATTCTCGATGAATTACACTTTTTTTTCTCCAAAATTTATCTTAAAGATTTCTAATATAGCTATCTTTGATTTGTATTTTAAACTTGAAATTATAAAAAAATAAACCTTAATTTTCACCTAATTAGAAAAAACCCTCAACTTTCATAAACCTTGTCCACACCATTTTTTCTCAGTTTTGGCATTTGTTTTACCAAAATAACCTTTACGGTAGTCGTATTATTGTAATTATTACCAATGTTAAACATTATGGTACTTTAAAGATCGTAATGCTCACTAGGTCTCTTTCTCCTTCATTTGTCACATCTCGTCAGACTTCTCCTTTAAGGTAAGAAATATTTCTCCAATTTTTTTTTTTTGAGCAAGTTTCAAGAGTACTTTGTAGCATTTCAACCAATTTGAATTTTGAGCATTACAGTGTGCTTACGGTATTTAAAGTACCGAAATGCCTGGAAATTTGAGCATTACGGTATTTAAAGTACTGTAATGCTTAGCCTAGTTATTACGGTACTTGAAGTACCGTAATGCGGTAGTTAAAGTACAGTAATGCTTAGATTGGTCATTACGGTCTTAAAGTACCGTAATGCGGTAGTCATTACAATAATACGACTACCGTAAAGGCTATTTTAATCAAAAATGTCAAAATTGAGGAAAAAATAGTGTGGACGGAGTTTATGAAAGTTGAGGATTTTTTTTCAATTAGGCAAAAATTAAAATATATTTTTATAATTTCTCTAAACTAAATCATTTAAAATTCATCATAGAAGTAAATTATGTTGAATTAAACATATAAGAAGATGCATCCACTATAATGATTCTCATACACCTTTGCATGCTGGCTTAAAATCGCATAAAACCGCATAAAAACTTTAAAATGTATTTGAAAGACATCGAAACAAAGGTTTTGAAATATTTGTAAAGAAGCAAAATAGAATTTAAAAGAAAAAAAGAGACAAGTTACTTTGTTGTAAAGAAATCAAAATAAAGGTTTGAAAATATTTGTAAAGATGAAAAATAGAATTTAGGGAAATTATCAAAACCATATATTTTTTTAGATTATTAAAAATAAATTCCAAATTTCTAAAACCTCATTCATACCCTTTTTAATCAATGTTTGTATTTCTAACGAAAATACCCTTCACAGTAGTCTTAGATCCGTGAAGGCATCACGGTCAACCGAGAGCCGTGATGATCCCAACGGGTTGTAAGCCAATTTGCATTCGGTTTAAATTTTAAAGCGCCATGGCACTTAAAGTACAATGATGGGTTCTAAGCCAATTTGTATTGAGTTTAAGTTTTTGAAGCATCATGGCACTTAAAAAATCATAATAATCAAAGTAGTCATCACGGTTATCTAAGTGCCGTAATGGTTCTAATGCTGCCCCGTTGTCACAGTCCTAATAAAATCATTATGATTTAATCCCACACTAAGAACATTTGAACCCTTATGGGTTAACCGTGATGCCTTCACTAACCTAATACTTATGTAAAGGGTATTTTAGTAAAAAATACAAAAAGCGGTGAAAAGAGGTATGGATGAGGTTTTGGAAATTTTGATGTTTATTTCTAATA